AATCCCGTTTTTCACCAGGACAAAGGGCTCCCGGCAAACCGGCCATCGCTGCAGGCTGGCAGGGTGGGCGCGCCCAGGCGGGGCGAGGGGAGGACATGCCACGCTGGCTGCAGAGGCTCCGCGTGGTTTTGATTTGCAGCGGGGAGAAAACGAGAAAGCCAGACATGGGGACAGACAGGGATCTGGCTCTGAAGCAGACGGCGGTGGGCTGGGCCCCGCAGCAGCCCAGACGTCTTTATTGCCGAGCTGGGACGGGAGGCCGGGAGCAGCGGCTGATGGCAGCAGCAGATGTGGCTGTGGCAGCCGGGCAGCTGGGCGGCCTCTGCCAGGGCGGACCACGGGCTGGGGAGCAGCGGGGAGACTGAGAAAAGCAGGACAGAGCGTGTGGGCTGGGGCAGGGAGGCCGCGGGTGGAGGACAGGGGAGAGCTGGGGTGGCGGGGGTGGGGGGGGGAGCACTGCTGAGGGAGCAGAGCTGGGGTCCTGTGGACCCTGCCTGGGTCCAGGCCATGGCCTCAGACAGACCTGGGGGAGTTCATGCAGCTCTCCCACTTCACGCTGCACCAGCTTCTGAGTTCTTCGGAGCCTCCCGCCCCGAGTCTGCGGAGGGGCTGGTGTGGAGAAACACGGCCTACAGTGCCGGCACACGGTCTTCAGTACGTAGAAGAGATCATGTTATGCCGCTGTGGTCCTAAGCAGGCAATGCCATCTCTCCCTGCCTCCCTTTTCTCATCCTTAAAATGGAAGTGGTAGCCAAAACCGGTTTGGCTCAGTGGATAGAGCGTCGGCCTGTGGATCAAAAGATCCTGGGTTTGATTCCGGTCAAGGTCACATACCTTGGTTGCAGGCACATCCCCCGTAGGGAGTATGCAAGAGGCAGCTGATCGATGATTCTCTCTCATCGATGTTTCTAACTATCCCTCTCCTTTCCTCTTTGTAAAAAAAATCAATAAAATATAGTTTTTTAAATGGAAGTGGTAGCATTACCTTCCTCACAAGATTCTTCAAATGATCAAAGGAGATCATGTATAAACTGGTCCGTGGTAAGTGCTCAATCAATTCTAATTCCTTTCCTTTCTCCACTCCCCTGCCTCCCACCTCCACGCACACGCACCTCCCTCCCTGCCTTCCCTCACCCACATGGCAAAGCAGGGGTTCCCCTCCCAGGCGGGAGGGGTGTCCCTCAGGGCCTGGTGGTCACCGTGTTCGTTCGGACACTTACATGAAACCACTCTGAGTGTTTGCTGTGTGCCACGGGCGGCTGCAGAACGCAGGCTAGGGCAACGCTGCGCCAAACACCCCCAGCCATTTTCTGGCCACGGGATGGTGGCCCTCACTTGCCCTTTTCTGTAAAGTGGGAGAAATGACACCCACCTCATAGTCTATTGTAAGGATTATGTCTGGTCCTCGCTGGTTTGGCTCAGTGGATAGAGCGTTCGCCTGCGGACTGAAGAGGCCCAAGTTCGATTCTGGTCAAGGGCACATGCCCGGGTTGTGGGCTCAATCCCCTGTTGGGGGCATGTAGGAGGCAGCCAATCAATGATTCTCTCTCATCACTGATGTTTCTATCTCTCCCTCTCTGAAATCAATAAAAATATATTTTTTCAAAGAATTATGTCTGTAAAATGCTTAGAGTAGGCGACCTATAAAAGGAATCTTAAAAAGTAAGAAAGAAAAAAAAAAAGAAAAAAAGAAATTTAAAACAGACAAACAGGCATTGAGAGATACTAATAATGAGAGGAGCCAAGGTCATGAAACATGAAGCTAAAATTCATGAGAAGAGAAGGAAACATGGCACATTCTAGAACTATAAATAGTCATGTCCGCCTGGGACAGTGGACAGGCTGGGACTTGGGTGGTTTCCAGCGTGTTCTCTCTCTCTCTCTCTCTCTCTCTCTCTCTCTCGCCTTGAACAAAGCACTCTGTCCCTCTGGACGGAGTAATGGAACAGAGCACCCAGACCCCTTCCCGCTGGAACTCCCCGGGTGCAGTGTGAGAAACTGAGTCCCGCGCAGTGGGAAGCGGGGTGCAGCTCACACTCGCACGGAAGCAGGAGAGGCTGCCGGGGTCTGCGGGGTCTGCACACTCACACAACGGCAAGGAGAGGGTTCGAGCCACTGCAGGAGTAAACGAGATAAAGCCCGCAGGGAAATTCTCCACCTTTAGTTCCAGGGCGTGGGTTGCAGACCGTTGCTAAGCATACGGAGAGTAACCTTTCACTCACTAACATTATTATTGCCACCGCATCGGATGAACAGAAATAAAAGTGAGCAGAAGCTAGGGGGAGGTGCTTGTCACTGCCTTCGAGTTGAAATGTTTATAGACTCTCATGTTAGCACTATTCCCCTCCCTGCCCCCAACACACACATCCCCTTCTCCAGGGTTAAGATAGGCGTGAAGTATAAAAAAAATTGCTCTCCATATAAGGTAAGGTTTGGGGCATCACCAAAAGCCCTGTCAAGAGCAGGCAGGAATAAAACAGATTTAAAGTCTGGCACCATACCATAGCAGGTCCTCAGTAGATATTCATTTTGGCTACTCCCCTTCGTTCCATGGCCCTGCTTTTGCAACAGCATCTCATATGTGACATCTCACAAGGAAATACGAACGCTGAATATTGTGAACAATAATAGGAACAGAGCCACTTTAAAAATGGAGCTGGAGCTGCCATGCCCAAGGAATTGCCTTGCATGTCTTATACCTCAAACCTTGGAATGTTAAAAAACAGGGCAACATGAGTGACCTTTGGACTGGGGCTAAGCAACCTTGTTCCCCAAGGAACTATCTGCAAAGATAGCCAGGTGACTACTGGACGGGTAATGACAGGGCTGAAAATTAAAAAAGTGTTCAGAATTAACATCACTGGATTATGTTACCCGCACCAATAGAAATGCCTTCCTCTATTGCTGTAACTAACTGTTCCCCTTCCCTTTCTCATCAAGACCCATTGCCTTTGTCTCCCAACTGAAGCATTAGTTATTCCTAAATAGCGGACATACACACTTGTTTGCCTTTCAATTTAAAAGGCCTTATTTTTAAGTTTACTATTTAGTCCGAAGACGTTGATTCGGGTCCTCTGTGGGAACTGGAGGACATCCCTCGAAGCTCAGAGCCTGTTTTTCTCATCTGTAGGATAGTGTTTCTCCCTGCACCCTCCTCACAGGGTTCCCTGGAGGAATGAATGAGATCAGGTATGTGAAAGCACTACTCAGATAGAAGGTGTGATCACTGGCCCGCAAAGATGGTGGTCACTTGGCTTGTATGAGCGTCTCTCTGGCCCCGATGGACACAGATGAGGGGCCTGGCAGTTGTAGCACATACTCCTGTGACAGGAGCTCTGCAGGGGTCCTGCACGGCCCAGGTCAATGGCTCCGAGCTTCCACCACGAGAACAAAGCGCACTTTCTGAAAGCAGCAAGCCCAAAAAGGTTTGCAAAGGGAGCACGTATGGGGGAGCAGTCATCTTGGGTAGGAGCGTTAGTTTCTCCAAGGCTTGGCTAAGATGTCTTCACAGCATAAAACAGAGAGCCAGACGTGTCTGGTTTACCTGGAAGATCATGAAGAAAATGGGTAGGAGATACGCTACTCTTGACTATAAAGCGGCAAATTACAACTTATAACCCTCAGGCTGTGGCCCTTGACAAGATATGCAACTTGTTTGTAAGCCTGTTTCCTCCTCTGCAAAGTGGGAATAACAGTTGAATGCATGTCTTTGGTTGGGACATTTAAGACATAACCCTTGACCCAGCTGACATGGCTCAGTGGTTAAGTGTCAACCTATGAACTAGGAGGGTCACAGTTCCATTCCAGGTCAGGGCACACGCCTGGGTTGCAAGCTCAATCCCCAGTGGGGGGTGTTCAGGAGGCCCTCATAGCTCCTGATTAATGGCTCTCTCTTAACATTGATGCTTCTCTCTCCCCATTCCTCTCTGAAATCAATAAATATATTTTTAAAAAAGACATCTCCTTTGGAAGGTACCATGCCTAACTCAACATACCCAAGATACTAAGTAATTCTTTGAAGGACAAAAGGTGTTTCAATAAAGACGAAGCCAGATGTCTATTCTTTTAAAACAAAATTTATTGTACATAAAATAAATTAATTACAATTTAAGCCAAAGCTCGGGTGGCTTTAAAGTGCATCTGTGTAGGGGATTTGTGCATCTGTTAACTCACTGTAAGATAGTGTGTTGGTGATTCAGCCATGACTCAGCCAGGCCTGGGAAGCAGCCCAACATCATCGCCATGAGCCAGTTACACAAATCACACCCAATTCAATGGACAATTATCTTTCTGTACCTGATGCAACAGTTGTTGTTGTTGTTTTAATTAGACAGTCTCACAACCACGCAAAGTTTGGGGCTGAAAAGTTTGTTCTCAACCACTGATCACAGGCCCAACCAACCAGCCTCCCGTGTCAGGCCATAGACACGCTTACAGATGTCTGGGTACACATTTTGGCCCATAAACTCCACCCCTTTGGAGGGAATGGGGAGATATCTTCCTCTTTGTCCTAAGAAACTGGAAACCCTTCCCGTTAGAAAGGCATTCTGTCAGGAATAGGGTTCCAGAGACGCAGCTCCTCCTTGGGGGATACGGGGTGGAGGAAAAGAGAAGGAAGAAAAAGGAGAGCCCGTGAAAGCTGAGTCCATGTCACCCCCACTGTAAATCACATCGATACATTTGGTGAGTCTACCACGGAGCATCACTTACAAGGGATTAAGGACAAAATAATCCAAAGCAATTATGCCCCCTTCCCCTCCACAGGACAGGACAGGACAGGGAGTCCATGTCACATATTCAGAGAGCGGCCTGGTGGGCACCGAGCCTCACCGGTTCTGTCCCCCTGCTCGGAGCAATGCTTCCTTCTCCGCACCAGTTCCAGGGCCTCCCCGCTCCGGCCCTTTCTGGAACCACGCGTTACTCCCAGCATTCAGCGTTCCTGCACCCGAAGAGCCTCAGACTCTCCTCCTGGGAAGACCACGCTAACACGTGCCTCTGCTTCAGACAGAGGTGACAGTCCTCACTTTGGCGGAGAGGGCTTGCTTGAACCTCCTCTTCAGGTCCTGCATGTTGGGCGACTTGGGCCTGGGGATGAGGGAGGTCCTCCGCTTCTCCGGCGTGCTGCTCGGCGGCTGTTTGTGGCTCACCTCCTTGCACAGCACGTGGAAGGCGTTGTAGACGTCGTTGTAGTTCTCGCTGACCGACACTTCGTAGAAGGAGCAGCCCAGCACGCCGGCCAGCTGCAGTCCAAGCTGAGGGTCCACCTGCTTGATGTGCAGCAGGTCGGCTTTGTTGGCCACGACCACCACGGGCAGCCGCGTGCCCAGGTGCAGCTGCTGGACCTGCTGGTGGAGCTGGCCAATGAGTTCGTAGCTCTTGTAGTCGGTGATGGAGAAAACGATGACCACGGCGTCGGCCCAGCGGATGCACCGACTCAGCTGCTCGTTGCAGCTCAAGCTGTTCTCGTGGACCTGAGGGGGGGGGAGGGATGGCAAGGTGAATGGCGAGGGCAGGAGAGGGCCCTGGCATGGCTGGGTAGAGAATTCAAAAGAGCCCTTGACAGTAAGGCCAGGTCGCAGGCCATAAACAAGTTCTATCCCCACACATTCAGCTTCCTTGACAATATGTTGACCCAGCTGCACGGAGTTGGAATAAATAACAGTGCAGCTCACCACACTCAAGTGGAAAATTGACCTGCAGAGAACTCCACGCAGAGAGACTTTGTAGTCGCATAAAATGGGAAATTAACTGGCTAGACAGTAAGTCTGGAGAAGTAAAGATAGGAGCTGGAAGCATTTAAACCTGGATAACTGCCCAGCTCTAGAGGGAAACTACACATACACACACACACACATACACTAGCATGGCTCTTTTGTCTACAGAGGAATTTTCCACAATAAAAAGTGACTCCCGAGTCTTTGGAGACTATACCTAGATTTTGATTTTGAATGGCAAGACACAGATGTAAAAAGTGACCTTTTTAATCACAGTCGGAAACTGCCTATTCCCAGTGTGTTTGGTTTGGTCTTTCCTGCTGGGTAGACTTCTAAGATTTCTGCCCTTTAGCCAAGTCTCCCAAATGAAGCCAGGCTAAGGCTGATCAAAAGCCAGATGGCACTGAAGTGTCACACATGTAAAAGCCTCGACTTGACTCCCCGAATTCCCCTCCTTCGTACTTTGAGAACTAGTTTGACAGTCAAGCCACCTCCCCATCGACCTAGGCACGCATCTCAGAGCTTCTCACCTGGATACCCGGAGTGTCTTGAACCTGAATAGCCAGGGTTTCACCTTCTATCTGGACTTGTCTGGTGTAGAGATTACCTATCAGGCAAAAGATAAAGAAAAAGTATGTTTATCCTTCTTGTGCAACTTCGAAAACATTATGGGATTTTTTTTTAAACTTAGAAAATATAACCTGAACCAATGCATAAAAATAAGCTGTAGTTAATAGGCTTAATTCAGATTTTATTTCTTTGGAGATAACTGTAATTCTGACTCCCTAAAAGTTGATTTGTGAAAACCAGGGCAAAGTTTGCACATTTTTGGAAACTGATTTGGGTAGTTTTAAACAGAGCTTCCATATTTAGAGTATTCCCTTGCTCAGCGTGTGTGTGGTTTCTATTTTATTTTAGCACTTTATCACTCAGACATGTATTTATACTTCAGCTATCAGATACAATGGCTGGGTAGGCAAACACTGTCAGCAAACGCGGAGCCAACATTACCAACCGAAATAAAAATGTGACACGGCAATAGCCAACCCTACATCAAAGCAGAAGGCTGCCATGCCTTATCTTGGGACGGTTTATAGAGCGCATTTCAAATAATCCCTGTAGGTACTTCAGATGGTCTAAGGAATGAAACAATTTGTTAACAGAACCTGGGTGGAAAGCCCTTAAGCCTCCCCAATGGCCAGTCTTAATCACAGGGATTGAAACAGTGCCCTCGCATTTATTCAGGAACTTCTCCTAAAATTCTAGCGTGCCGTCCTTTTTCTTTGTTAAGAAAAGAGAACTTTGGGTTTACAGCGGCCCTCCCCTGGCCTTTGCTTTAAAAGGCCACCTCTGAAAGGCAGCCAGCAGAGAGGGATGGGGGTGGGGGAGGAGCTGGCCAACATTTTTTTTTTTTATGACTTTGGCAGGAGTGTTTTGAAGGGAGAGAGGCTCTTCAGAACAAAGGGTGCTTCCAACTGGGGTCCCCATCAGTTGAAGCATAGCAAGGGGAATACTTTCAGGCACTCGATAAAGTGATGGATGGGCCTGGAGTGGAAGGAGGCCAGATGGCAGTTATGGGGGGGGGGGGGCACAGGAAAGGGGGAGGGGGGGAGGGGGGGAGAGGGAGCAGGCAGAGTTGGATGTGGCAGACCTGATGCTGACTGTCACTACTCTGAAGGAACCTGCCTGGGAGACACTGAAAATGAGACCAGCAGCACTGGTGCAAGCGGATGGCGTTTCCTGCAAAAGTGCTCCCTCACCTGCATTTCTTTCGTAGTCACCGATGAATCGCTTGGTCAGGAACCGGACCACCAGAGCTGCAGGTCAGAAAAGAGAGAGGAAAGAGGTTTAACCCTGGCGCTGAAGTTAGATCCGTCTTCTTCACTCCAGGTCTGGAAATCAGCTCTCCTAGGGAAAGCCTGCCGCCACCTAGGAAATTCCTACCCCCTAGCAGCCCTCCCGGGCTCCCCACCCCCGCCCCCCAGCTCCTTCACTCTCCTTCCAGACACCGCACGGGTACAAGGCATGGGGAGTTGGGGAGTTGGGGAGATGGGGAGGTGGAGAGTAACCGCTCGGTGCAGCTGGAAGGCCTGCCTGCAGACACCTCGTTCCTAACCTGTACGCCCCCGAGGAGCGGCTGCGCTCCCCAAGTCCCCCTTTGTGCCAGGCACCCCCGGACGCTCAAGAACCCCAAAGCTCTGGTCCCAGTTGTGTCGGTGGCGCCGGGACGGTCCCCGGCCACTCGGGGTCCCAGTTCTCCTCCTCTGGAGCAGGAGGGATGGGGAGTGAAGCTGGCTCGGGTCCCCCGGAGGGGCAGCGAGTCCACAGGAGACGGCGGGAGGGCCGCGAAGCCAGTGCTCCCACCTCGCCCGGCCCCGTCCAGCCCCGGTGCCGCCCGGGCGCGAGGACTCACCGGTCTTGCCCACGCCGCTGGCCCCCAGCACGGCGATCTTGACCAGCCGGCGGCCCGCCGCCCGCAGGCAGTAGTCGGCGGCCGCGGCGCTGCCCGCGGCGGGGTACTCGGCGATGGTGCACATGTTCTGGATGAGGCGCATCGCCGCGCCGGCCGGGCTGCTCCGCGCGGGACGGGAGCTGCGGGCGGGAGGAGCAGGCGCTGCGGGAGCGAGCGGGCGGGCGGGGGCCCGGCCGAGGCTCCGCGGGAGGAAGGCTGCAGCAGGGAGAGCGAGCGCGGGCGGAGCGCGGAGCAGGCAGCCTCAGTCTACGGCGGGACGGCGCCCGGGCAGCGCGCGCCGTTTTCTCCGCCGCCGGCTCCGCCCCCCGCCCCCTGCGGCCAATCCCCAGGCGCCCTGCGAGAGGCTCCGCCCCTCCACCCCGAGGCCAATCCCCCGGCGCCTTGCGCGAGGCCCCGCCCCCGGCGCCGGCCTGCGGGCGCTGCGCCCCACGGGGCGCCGGGAGCGGGCGCTGGGCCCCGTGCAGAGCGGGGCAGATGGGGCGGCGGGCCGGGGGGGCCACCGGTGTGTGGGGGGCCACGTGAGGGCTGGAGCCGAGGGCTCCGCCAACGGCGGGCTCGGGGTGGGCAGGCCGGGGCGCGGGCCGGGGTCCCGCGGCGCCCGCACGGGGCAGGTGCTGTGGCTGAGGTGCTGGGGCGCTGGGGGCGACTCGGGTGCCCGGTAGCGGGTCTCCCTAGAGCGCTTCTCCAGCCTCACCCACCCAGCCACCCACTCCCTGCAGCCACTGACCTCTGGGCCCCTGCCCTCCGGGACCCGGGAACCTGCGCTGGGGAGGCGGGGCCCCCGCGAATGCGAGCTCGCCGGGTGTGGAGCCCGCCCTGCTGCCCGCTTCGCGCCTGCCTCATTCATTTGGGAGGGGCATGATTGCACTGACGTGGGGGCATCTGGGGTGGCATCTCGGATTACCGATTTGGCCACAATGGCATTCAGGAGCAAAGACCCCGTGACCACTCTCCTGACATGTGACTTTTTATTTGGGGGCAACATAATGTCACCCATTTGCCTGTAGACCTACACTCTCTGGCTCTCGACAGGGCTGCGGATCGCTCACCCTCCGACAAGCTCACGTGAGCGCACACAGGTCGGTGCATTGGCACTCCCACAGGCAAATCAAGAAGTAATTATCCAACAAGCTTTCTGGCGCCGCACACTGTCACAGCTCCGGCTGGAGGTGGAGCTGTGAGGTGGAAAGAAACAGTTGCCCCAGCTGTGTCCGCCCAGGGGGTCCGCACTTGTCTCTGGACACGAGGGATGGCAAGGTTAGTAAAGTGACGATGCCAAGGAGGACGTGTGCTTGCTACACTCAGAAAACCCCAAGCTCCAGCCCCTTGCATTCTCATCAGGGACGGAAAGACATCTTCGATAGGAGACTAGGTTTCCCATCTAAGTATTCTGTAGCTGGAACTGTCTGTGGAATGTCACCAAACACCCAGGCTGACCACCTCCATCCCACCCCCTACCCCCACCCCTAACCCCGCCTTTTTAACCTTGTGGGCCCCCAAAGTTCCAGAGGCTTTTATCCTAAGGATAAACATTGTAACTTTGTATCTTCAGCCATATTAAAGGTTGATGTATAAAAGTATAAACCAGCCCTAAAAGGTTTGGCTCAGTGGATAGAGCATCTGCAGACTAAAAGGGTCCCATCTGCAGGCTAAAAGGGTTCAATTCTGGTCAAAGGCATGAACCTTGGCAGCAAGCACATCCCCAGTAGAGGGTGTGCAGAGGGCAGCTGATCAATGTTTCTAACTCTCTATCTCTCTCCCTTTCTCTCTGTAAAAATCAATAAAGTATATTTTAAAAATAAAAGTATAAACCAGTTCTCTTATCTACATATGTCAGACATCTAGTTTGAGTCCCTCTTCCACCCTCAAGTTAATTGACCAGGTATTTGATGGAATTTATGATGCTGACCCAATTCAGACTGAAGTGAACCCTCCTGCCTATCTTGGTTTAGATGTTCTCAGGAATTCAAGGCGGAGGAAAGGTAATCTCAAACTGCCTTGATAGCAAGTTTTCTAGGATGGGCAGCACGATTGGCAAGATGCGTCACCTTAGCAACCAACATGATAAAAGGTTGACTTCTGTGGAGATCACAAGAAGGAAATAAACTCAGCCATTTGAGTAAGGAGGGTGAGGGCGGGGGCGGGAGTGGGGGGGAAGCATTTAGAATATGTATTATGTCTTTCTACAGGGTTTAACTCAAATTTTAATTCTGATGTGCTATAAAATCAAATGTAGCAAGACTGTGATTATAGGTAAACATGTACTTTTTTAACCCCCGCCCTCCAAAAGCCATCTTTACATAGTGAAATAATTATGAAGTCTGAAGTTTTTGTGTAACTGCTTTTTATACACACACTCACATGCAGACATGACAAAAGTTGCCAAGGAGAATTCTGCTTTGACTCTAAAGTGCTTCGGGGGCTTGATTTTTATTACCATGAGCCTGTACCAAGCCTGTGATTTTTCTGTCTGAAACACAAAGGCTGGATTTGGTAATCTTATTTTAGGTCTAAATGATCTGTCTGTGCTTTAAAGAGCACAGAAAACAAGAGGAAGATGGAGAGAAGAAAGGGGAGCTGTTCAAATTCCAAGCATCTGGCAAAGAGCCCAGCTCCAGCTCACCCTACCTTCACATGATGATACTGAGAGTAACCCTGTCTTGGAAGTTGATAGAATTAATAGACAGGAAGGGGACGGGGCAGGAAACTTGGTGTATATTGAAGGCTTCATTTATCCCAGGGATCTAGCGTACCAAAAATCTCACCTTCGTGGCAATCCTGTCGCCATCACTTCCAGCTGGTCATCTACTGCTGCTTAGTAAACCACCCTGAGCCTCCGTGGCTCCCAGTCCTGTGGGTTGACCGTGCTCAGCTGGGCAGTTCTCGCATGGGGACTCTGGTGTAGTTGCCGTCAGATGGCAGCTGCGGTGGAGTCATCCGAATCCTCACCTGGGCTGGACACTAAGATGGCTTCTTCTGCATTTCGGCTGGAATGCCAGGCAGCTGGGACTAGCCAGCCTCTGCAGCGGCAGCTCAGGCTCTTTCATAGCCTGACGGGCGACTTCCTTTAGAGTGAGCATTGGTAGACAGGAACCGGAAGCTGCCCATCTGTGAAGGCTCCTGCATGGAAGTTGGTGCAGCATCCCTTCTGCTGTGTGATATGGTCCACCTGTCACAGAGCCCACCCGAGGTAAAGGGCAGGTGGCAGGGACGTAGATCACACCTTCAGGTAGGAACAGCGTCAAAGGCTTTGTGGCCATTTTATAAATGAGAAAACAAAGTCTCTGGTTAAAAATTCCTCCAAAATCTGAAAAGAATAAAGAGCATAGCATAGGGAGGATGTTCAAAGTGGTTTGAACTGCTCTCCTCTCCCTCTCGCTCCCTTCTCCATTTTTTGTCGTTTATGCTAAAAGAAATGGTGGTGAGCCGAAACCGGTTTGGCTCAGTGGATAGAGCGTCGGTCTGCGGCTGAGGGGTCCCGGGTTCAATTCCGGTCAATGGCATGTACATTGGTTGCAGGCACATCCCCAGTAGGGGTTGTGCGGGAGGCAGCTGGTCGATGTTTCTCTCATCATCAATGTTTCTAGCTCTCTATCCCTCTCTGTGAAAAATCAATAAAATATATTTAAAAGAAAGAAAGAAAGAAAAGAAATGGTGGTGAAGGTGCTAAGATATGAAAAACTTGGAAAGAAATACTCTGCCAACTTCTGATTTTGCCTCAGAACCCAGAGTTTCTATCACCTCTTTTGATCTGTGCAGCTGGTCTTAGATCTGAGAGCTTTCAGAGATTATCCAGTTTCTGAAATCCCTTAGAATACTAGGATATAAATTCAGTAACTGTCTAAGCCATGGGCGTAGCCGGCACTAGGCTGGGTCCCACGTCTACACTGGCAGACAGAACAGACTCTGCCAGCACTGCAGTTAACATTTAGCAGGGAGACAAAGAAATGAATGAGCGATTTCAATGCCCTAAGAGGAAATGCTTTGATAGGGGAAATTTGGGAGCTATAGGATTACAAAACAGGACTAAAAGCCCGCGTTGTGGGAGTCAAGGAAGAATGTGTAAAAGTGTGAGTAGTTGAAAAGTTTGTGTTTTGTGTATCTGTGGGAGTCTGAAGCAGCGCCTCGGAGGGGGAGGGGAGAGATGGTTGGTTTGCAGAAAATCTAGCATTTGCCAGAAGACAGTAGGTGCTCAGTAAGTGCTTGCAAACTATTAATGAAAGCAAAGGCCTCAGAGATTTTGAGGAATAGAATCGTTCCTAATGGGTGGACAGAGGGAAGAGTGCTGGTGATTCCAAGGAGGGACACACACATCCACGAAACAATCCCTGAAGTTGTGTGGTCCTCCTTGCTGAGACCATGCCCCACAGAACCCATGAGCTCCCCTCTGCCTCTTCCATAATCCAGAAGAGGGGGGGTCAGGAGATCGCACTGCCTCCCCTGCTGCTGTCTTTCCAGACCCACAAAGGTAGAGGCCGGACGTGTAGAAAGGGCCCGTATCCCCACAGGGGAGCCTGGTACCAGAAAGCACCCAGCCACAGAGAGGTGGCCTCCTCCCTCTAACTCTTACTTGAGCATGCTGGTTAATGCAGCTGTTTTGTACTCGTGACCCTAGCTGCAAAGGAATCTGGGAGATGTGTTCAGCTTTCTAGGCTCAGCCATACATGAAGACACCCTAGAAATGGGAAGGAAGCAGAGGGTGAATCCACCGTTTCCTCTGCACTTCTCTCGAATCCCAAAGAACATAGAGTCCCAGAGAAGGAGAGATAGGGCCCACTAGACATCTAATCTGCAATTGTAAGAATATAATGAAGTTCTTTTTGCAATTGATTGCTTTGAGACTTCCGTTCAAGACCACTATTTTCGTTGCTTTTATGTAGTGGGAACTCCCTACCATCCACAGCAGCACACTTATGCTGAGCTGGTATCTTTTCTCCTGCAGCCTCTTTCCAGGAGGACAGACTTTGGTGTGGTCTGCAGCTTCCAAACACCTGGTCCATTGCTCCTTTGCCTTTTGTGGTAGTTTGAGGACTGAGGAACCGGTAAGGAAAAGGTGGGGATTGTAAAGGAACAGGAAACAGG